TAGTTTCCATGAAAATTCGTAGTAAGTATTACTACTAATCAGCTTAAATGATGAATTCCTATTATGATGATGGTTACCCATTCTGAAGATGGCAATCAAATTATCTCACGGAAATGCATTTCTGCAAACAATATTCTAGCATAATATCATTAATGCAAAATAAAGTCTAGCAGACTTGATCATGATCTGCATAACTGTTCTGGGCAAAACTGGATTCAAACATAGGCTAAATCCTCGCACATGCCAGAATTGAAACTGTTATAAGCATTTGAGAAAACAATCAATCTTATTAGAAAACTTTGTGAATGATTAGATTATCATTTCAAAACTTTGCTTACGATATAAAATCAAGATCAGATTAAATAAAAAAAACATTTTGAATGTTAATTAACGCAATTTATCAAGAAAACGTAGCAGTTCATGCCGTTTAATGTTTTTAGTTATCGATCTTAAGATCGGTAAGTATATTGATAGGTAATTGTCTGTATGTATGTCTGTCTGTATGTCTGTCTGTATGTATGTCTGTCTTTGTGTCTGTTAGATGCACGCGATATCTCACGAAAGCGAGATTGAATCTGCTCCAGATTTTGCATGTGCATTCATCTTATCTCGGACCAGAAGCCTATTGATTTTGGGCGAATTATGTCGTATAATTAGCGAGTTATCAATCAATTATTGATATAGTGATCTAGATTTTTGTAAAGCGAGAGAATTTTGAAACCCGCCGAGTGTGTGTGTGCGATGCGCAGTGCGCAAGTTACAAGAGCGGATGAATCGAAACTGCAGTTTCTGTTTTGGGGGATCCCCCCACTATCGATCGATAAGTCTTCGGTTTCCAACCGATATTCTCGTTTATCACTTGCTCAGAACTTAAGATGCAAATCGAGTTCTGTGCTATATCTCAAACGGGCCTACTACTTAGTTACGAAAACAAGACCACACTTCAAACAAATATTCACCACGTTTAGATAAGATTTCATTCGCTCTGAAATGACTACTAACCATGTACCGCCACCAGGTGCAGGGAAATTGCTGAGTCTTGGTGGCGGTATTTCGTGGGATCGTAAATTTTATATCTAAATTATTTCCAATATTTAGGAGTCACACGCTACAGTTAACTTCTTCAATTTTTTTTTTATATAAGATCAACTGCTATAACTTGGAGAGGTTCAAACTGCAAATCTTCTCTGTTATTTGATGCCGTATTGTTTGTTGAAATTCTATTCCAATTGTGTAAGATTTTTCTGAAGACAGTCAGGATTCTCGCCACCGTACCACCATTTACTTAAACTTAAGTTCGGTTTTCCTTTCGCACCATCGGTCACGATTCTACATTATCTGCACAATTTTTCATTAACCAGTTTCATTTTCCTACACGCACAGAAAATGTAAGGTTGTCGTTCAGGAGGTTCCAGATTACGCCATGCAAAATACTTTAAATATTCATCGTCATTTTCATCCAAATAAATCAAGTATTGAACTAAATCTTTCAATGACTTGAAGTCGTCGACAAAAATAAAGGAATTCTGTGGGGCTACACGAACGATATCTTCTTTTAGTGGTCCCCAAACAACGGGCACGACACCATTTCATAATGAATTCACCAAAAAATTTTCAGTTATATAGTCTTTACAGTGTATACTATTCTCAAACGACATGAAAAATCGTATCGCGACCCAAAGCACTTCACACCATATCTGAAACAGAACAACAATAGTTTATGACGAATACTTATATGTTTCGTTAGACTGATTTAGAAATGTATCCATCGATGTATTTGGGTATATAAGTTTCGTTATTCGACATTGGACAATTTCAGATATTTTGGAATCGGTGGAAAATAGGGTCTCCCATTTTAGCGGCATATTAAGAGTGAAATAAAGAATCTTTTCGTTTGGTATTGATAATAAATGTATGAGTATTACCGTGTTAAATTCAGTCCTTCTTTCACAAGTGCATCCGATAATTTTATTCTCAATTGGGCCCCAGCTCTCCAGCATTCGCTTGCCAGCATAATAGCTAAGTTCGTTTTATTTTCCAAAGAAAATGGCTGTATCTGTAATAAAAAAAATGCTTTGGTTCTGATTTTTCAATGGAAGTATGCCGTTCTGAGTTACATAAAATTAAGTTTTCCCTAAGGATATAAGATTTTAACTCAACTCACACAGGCCACAAAGTGACATACAATTTTACAAAATTGTAATCGTATTTGCTTTGCTGGTATCGGATTCAGTCCGTAATGTAAGTACGTTTGTAAATTCATTTATAACCCTCTCCAAGTCCCCTTATATTTTTAAACAGTGGGTAAAATCTGATCTATGTTGAAAGCAATACTTTTAGGTCACTTATGATAATTTTTTGAAGATTTTAGACACGCTGGCCCCTTGTGGGGATTTACCGGATGTTGTACTAGTCACTATAATGCCACTTCTTACCGGAAAAGACTAATTCTGAGATAGCACATGTATGCTGTTCAATATTCAACGCTTTGTAACACGACTGTTATTCCACGGTGCTTGAAAATAATAATGGGACTGTCAAACTAATTTCATGACTCGATTCAAAAATCCAGATACGATTCAAAAGACGCCTAAAATGTTAATGAAGGTTATTTTGATTAGTAGATTTAAACTTGCTTTATGATCAAACAATTCCCGCAAAAGAAAGGGAAAAACGAGGAATTTTATTATAAGGGAAAAGTATGCAAACGAAATTGCATTATAAACGTTCTTTCGCCTAGTATCATGCCCCCTCCAACAGCTCTGTGGCCCCTTTGGAGGGAGGGGGAACAGCCCCCAGCTGGGAACCGCTGGATTGAAGTAATCTATATCTGTTATGCTGTAAATATCTATACCGGTATGTAATAAATCAGAAAACTAAAATTAAATTCACTGTCTTTTCCCGGAAAGATAAGACGGTTTCACCAGTAGTATCAGTGTTTGCTATCAGCCTGGCAGGCCCAATAGCAGTAAAAATATTTTACAATATGTACATATATATCACTCACTGCTGGGGTACTTGCTGTTTTTATCATATCTTTCTGCCATATCCCATATTTATTAACTATGTCAGAATCTCCTCTATATGACATCGTCATATTAAAAATCGTGTCGTATTCCTGTAACATAACGTTGATTCGTTCTTCTTTTGCGTATCTAGTGTAGTATGGATTTTCGCTACTCATAAACACGTATACGTGATTCGGCAATCTTCAGTAGAAAAACAGAATATATTATTGGAATGCACACACAAAAAATACTTGGCCTTTCTAGTTTTATATCTTTTCCGCCAAACGGCAAATTGTCCGGCTATTTCAACCTATGCACCAGTTTTACAACAATTGGAAAGGGCAGGATATACTATAACAACAGTGATAGTGATATATTTCCCAGTTATGAAGGTCGTTCGTTTCTGCTAATGAGCTTATTTAATACTAGTTATACTTTATATACTAGTTAATAATTAGTAGGGGAAAGCAAAAACACTAATTTTCCCCACGTATCAATACGGATCAGTGGATGAAAGACTAACAATGACTACAAGTATTTTGAAGTGAGCATTGGCGGTTGCTGCTTGATTTAAAGTTTATGTGCTTACTTGGGCCATTTGTCAATTTCAATTCTTGTTCCCGAAAGCTGCGATAGATTTGAGACAAGATAAAAAAAAACTCTCAAAATGAGCATCAAAATTATTGCAATAGTAAATATAGAAAGAATTCTTATTCAAGGCAAGGCTCGGCGAAGCGCAGATTTAGTAATTCACAGATTACTCAATTTTAAGTTTTTTTTTGAAATATTTTTGTTCATATTGAGAAAAAAGTTGTCAAAGTTAACGTACAAAGTCATTCGTTCGTTAACTTGAATATCTATACGCAAAAATTACCTTGTAGGTGGCATAATCGTTTTTTTCGTAGAAAAGTATGCTAGGTGAAAAAGAAGGACATCACTATCATTTAAATAGTTCCTGTCCGGAGTAACGATACAACCACCGCAAGCTGTTGATAAAGTCTTTGAAACTAGCAAATACTTTGTTGAAAATTTTGGCGTTCCCCAAAATAATATCATCTTCGGCTTTGTAATTGTGCCAACCACAAAATTCACACTCGATCTCGATTCATGTCTTTTTTCTAGTTGTTCAACGTTGTAAATATTCATAAGTTCACTAACACTTGTTCCTTCATAGTTTTATAGAAGAAATACTTTATGTTTGATTTGAGGTGGGAAACGTTTCAGAATGAATATGATAAGCATAAGAAAGCCGGAACTGATGGCCAAAGTTTGTGTATAAAATCGCATTGCGCAAAGATAGTATAGATTAATATTATTCTGTAGAAATATATTCTTGACCTAATTGGAAATCAAAAAATTTGTTCCATAACGTGAAAAAAAAACGGCAAATAATGAGGACGAAAAGCCCAATTACGTTTCGCTCTCTTTCTTGTTCACGATGCTTCAGAATTTAGATAAACCTTATCGTTAAAACTGTGACGTGGCTGAACAGTCTTCAGAAAAGCTTTACTAAGAGTTGAATAATTCGCAAGTTTAGATTGTACGTGGCTCAAATTTAACGAGATTGCCACCAATTAATTTGGAAAACTAGTTTTACATGAAAATCCATATTACGTATTCTTGCTCATAGGCACAAATTCCTCAAAACAGTCCAGAGTAAGTATTACTTCTAACCAGCAAAAATGATACATTCTTTTTATGATTGGGAGGCATCCTGAAGTTTGACAATCTAATTCTCCTACGAAAATGCATTCCTGCAAACCATATTCTAGCGATATATCATTAATGCGAAATAAAGTCTAGCTGACTTGATCATGATCTGCATAACTGTTCTGGGGACAACTGGATTGAAACATAAGCTAAATCCTCGCACATGCCAGAATTGAAACTGTAATAAGCTTTCGAGAAAACACTCAATCTTATTATTCTTCGTAAGAAAACTCTGTGAATGATTAGATTATCATTTCAAAACTTTACTTATGAAATAAAATCAAGATCAGATTTAATAAAAAAAACATTTTGAATGTTAATTAACGCAATTTACCAAGAAAACGTAGCAGTTCATGCCGTTTAGTAAATGTTTTTTATCACTTGCTCAGAACTTAAGATGCAAATCGAGTTCTGTGCTATATCTCAAACGGGCCTACTACTTAGTTACGAAAACAAGACCACACTTCAAACAAATATTCACCACGTTTAGATAAGATTTCATTCGCTCTGAAATGACTACTAACCATTAACCGCCACCAGGTGCAGGGCTTGGTGGCGGTATTTCGTGGGATCGCAAATTTTATATCTAAATTATTTCCAATATTTAGGAGTCACACGCTACAGTTAACTATATGCTATAACTTGGAGAGGTTCAAACTGCAAATCTTCTCTGTTATTTGATGCCGTATTGTTTGTTAAAATTCAATTCCAATTGTGTAAGATTGTTCTGAAGACAGTCAGGATTCTCGCCACCGTACCACCATTTACTTAAACGTAAGTTCGGTTTTCCTTTCGCACCATCGGTCACGATTCTACATAATCTGCACAATTTTTCATTAACCAGTTTCATTTTCTTACACGCACAGAAAATGTGAGGTTGTCGTTCAGGAGGTTCCAGATTACGCCATGCAAAATACTTTACATATTCATCATCATTTTTATCCAAATAATTCAAGTATTAACTAAATCTTTCAATGACTTGAAGTCGTCGACAAAAATAAAGGAATTCGGTGGGGCTACACGAACGATATCTTCTTTTAGTGGCCCCCAAACAACGGGCACCACGCCATTCCATAAAAAATTCACCCAAAATTTTTCAGTTATATAGTCTTTACAGTGTATACTATTCTCAAACGACATGAAAAATTTATATTGATAAAGTAGTTTTGTTATGTCCCTTCGTATCGCGACTCAAAGCATTTCCCATATCTGAAACAGAACAACAATAGTTTATGACTAATACTTATATGTTACGTTAAACTGGTTTAGAAATGTATCCATCAATGTATTTGGGTATATAAGTTTCGTTATTCTACATTGGACAATTTCAGATATTTTGGAATCGGTGGAAAATAGGGTCTCCCATTTTAGCACCATAATAAGAGTGAAATAAAGAATCTTTTCGTTTGGTATTGATAATAAATGTATGAGTATTACCGTGTTAAATTCAGTCCTTTTTCACAAGTGCATCCGACAATTTTATTCTCAATTGGGCCCCAGCTCTCCAGCATTCGCTTGCCAGCATAATAGCTAAGTTCGTTTTATTTTTCAAAGAAAATGGCTGTATCTGTAATAAAAAAAAAACGCTTTGGTTCTAATTTTTCAATGGAAGTATGCCGTTCTGAGTTACATAAAATTAAGTTTTCCCTAGAGATATAGGATTTTAACTCAACTCACACAGGCCACAAAGTGACATACAATTTTACAAACTTGTAATCGTATTTGCTTTGCTGGTATCGGATTCAGTCCGTAAAGTAAACACGTTTGTAAATTCATTTATAACCCTCTCCAGGTCCCCATATATCTTCAAGCAGTGGAAAAAATCTGATCTACGTTGAAAGCAATATTTTAGTTCACTTATGATAAATTTTTGAAGATTTTAGACACGCTGGCCCCTTGTGGGGATTTACCGGATGTTGTACTAGTCACTATAGTGCAACTTCTTACCGGAAAAGACTAATTAAGAAATAGATAACACATGTATGTTGTTTAAGCTGCATTACTTTGTGACACGACTGTTATTCCACGGTGCTTGAAAATAATAATGGGACTGTCAAACTAAATACGATTCAAAAGACGCCTAAAATGTTAATGAAGGTTATTTTGATAAGTAGATTTAAAATTGCTTTATGATCAAACAATTCCTGCAAAAGAAAGGAAAAAACGAGGAATTTTCTTATAAGGGAAAAGTATGCAAACGAAATTGCATTATAAACATTCTCGCGCCTAGTATCGCGCCCCCTCCAACTGCTATGTGGCCCCTTTGGAGGGAGGGTAAACGGCCCCCAGTTGGGAACCGCTGGATTGAAGTAATCTACATCTGTCATGCTGTAAATAAATATACCTGTATGTAATAAATCAGAAAACTAAAATTAAATTCACTGTCTTTTCCCGGAAAGATAGGACGGTTTCACCAGTAGTATCAGTGTTTGCTATCAGCCTGGCAGGTCCAATAGCAGTAAAAATATTTTACAATATGTACATATATATCACTCACTGCTGGGGTACTTACTGTTTTTAACATATCTTTCTGCCATATCCCATATTTATTAACTATGTCAGAATCTCCTCTATATGACATCGTCATATTAAAAATCGTGTCGTATTCCTGTAACATAACGTTGATTCGTTCTTCTTTTGCGTATCTAGTGTAGTATGGATTTTCACTACTCATAAACACGTATACGTGATTCGGCAATCTTCAGAAGAAAAACAGAATATATTATTAGAATGCACACACAAAAAATACTTGGCCTTTCTAGTTCTATATCTTTTCCGCCAAACGGCAAATTGTCCGGCTATTTCAACCTATGCACCAGTTTTACAACAATTGGAAAGGGCAGGATATACTATAACAACAGTGATAGTGATATATTTCCCAGTTATGAAGGTCGTTCGTTTCTGTTAATGAGCTTATTTAATACTAGTTATACTATATATACTAGTTAATAATTAGTAGGAGATAGCAAAAACACTAATTTTCTCCGCGTATCAATACGGATCAGTGGATGAAAGACTGACAATGACTACAAGTATTTTGAAGTGAGCATTGGCGGTTGCTGCTTGATTTAAAGTTTATGTGTTTACTTGGGCCATTTGTCAATTTCAATTCTTGTTTCCGAAAGCTGCGATAGATTTGAGACAAGATAAAAAAAAAAACTCTCAAAATGAGCATCAAAATTATTGCAATGGTAAATATAGAAAAAATTCTTATTCAAGGCAAGGCTCGGCGAAGCGCAAATTTAGTAATTCACAGATTACTCAATTTTAGTTTTTTGACTTTGAAATATTTTTGTTCATATTGAGAAAAAGTTGTCAAAGTTAACGTACAAAGTCATTCGTTCGTTAACTCGAATATCTATACGCAAAAATTACCTTGTAGGTGGCATAATCGTTTTTTTCGTAGAAAAGTGTGCTGGGTGAAAAAGAAGGACATCACTAACATTTAAATAGTTCCTGTCTGGAGTAACGATACAACCACCGCAAGCTGTTGATAAAGTCTTTGAAACTAGCAAATACTTTGGTGGAAATTTTGGCGTTCCCCAAAATAATATCATCTTCGGCTTTGTAATTGTGCCAAGCACAAAATTCACACTCGATCTCGATTCAAGCTTTTTTTCAAGTTGTTCAACGTTGTAAATATTCATAAGTTCACTAACACTTGTTTCTCATAGTTTGATTGATGAAATACTTTATGTTTGATTCGAGGTGGGAAACGTTTCAGAATGAATATGATGAGCATAAGAACGCCGGAACTGATGGCGAAAGTTTGTGTATAAAGTCGCATTGCGCAAAGATAGTATAGATTAATATTATTCTGTAGAAATATATTCTTGACTTAATTGGAAATCAAAAAATTTGTTCCATAACGTGAAAAAAAACGGCAAATAATGAGGACGAAAAGCCCTATTACCTTTTGCTCTCTTTCTTGTTCAAGATGCTTCAGAATTTAGATAAACCTTATTGTTAAAACTGCGACGTGGCTGAACAGTCTTTAGAGAGGCATTACCAAGAGTTAATTAATTCGCAAGTTTAGATTGTACGTGGCGCAAATTTAACGAGATTGCCACCAATTAATTTGGAAAACTAGTTTTACATGAAAATCCATATTACGTATTCGTGCTCACAGGCACAAATTCCTCAAAACAGTCCAGAGTAAGTATTACTTTTAACCAGCATAAATGATACATTCTTTTTATGATTGGGAGGCATCCTGGAGTTTGACAATCCACTTCTAATCCTACAAAAATGCATTCTTGCAAACAATATTCTAGCGATATATCATTAATGCGAAATAAAGTCTAGCAGACTTGATCATGATCTGCATAACTGTTCTGGGCAAAACTGGATTCAAACATAAGCTAAATCTTCGCACATGCCCGAATTAAAACTGTAATAAGCATTTGTGCAAACACTTAATCTTATTATTCTTCATAAGAAAACTCCGTGAATGATTAGAATGCTATTTTCAAAACTTTGCTTCCGAAATATAATCAAGATCAGATAGATAAAGAGACATTTCGAATGTTAGTTAACGTAATTTATCAAGAAAATGTAGCAGTTAACAGCGTTTATTAATTCAAGTATTGAATTAAATCTTTTAACAACTTGAAATCGACGACAAAAATAAAGGAATTCGTTGGGGCTACACGAACGATATCTACTTTTAGGGGACCCCAAACAACGGGCACGACACCATTCTGTAATGAATTCACCCAAAAATTTTTAGTTGTATAGTCTTTTGTTCCATTTAAATTGTTAACTTGAATATTTGATTGCACACGGAGTAAATGTTTCATCATCTATTTAATATTTCTTCAAATCATATAATTCAAAGATGTGACCTGCCTAATCTTCTGTCGTAAGTGTTGAAAATTCCCCAAGAACCTTGCCAAGTAATCATGTATTATCTGAATAGCGAAAAATAAATATTCTCAAACCACGAATGTCACTTGACACTCAAACTTCAGTATCCAATTTACAATTTCTTTCAACGCGGTTTATTGCTTGCTTAGAATTGGAAAAAATTAGGCAGTTTGATTCCACTGCTACCATTGCGAAAGAAATTTATCACACTACTCTTGGAGTGAGACAATAACTTTTGCATACTGCGGATGTTATTTTAGGTTCGTTTGTCGGTCTAGACACGCGAAATTCAGGCGTGTATTCAGGAGTGTGCCAAACTTTTCTGCTGCCCGGGGCAAGTTTCTGATAATGCTGCCCCTAATTAGGATTGGGTATTCCGAATCGAATATTTGAATCGAATAGTAAATTATTCGAATCGGTTCAGAGCAAAATTTCGAATCACCGTCAACTTTTTTTTATTTCCGCCAATGGTCGAGGTAAATTTCCCAATTTTCCTATTGAAGCCATATTTTTTCAGCGCAATTCTGACATATTACTCTTTTCTGTAGTGAGTTATTGATAAAACGTGTTTTTATTGTGTGTGAACGCTCAGCAATGTGCCTAAGTGTTATATCGTAACGCTAATAACCGAATTGCGTAAGTCATTTTTAGCAGTTTTGAGAAAAACGTAAAAAACTTCCTAATGATATTGTTATGCCATTGAGAGTCAATAATTTGCCATGGTTCAATTTTTTGATCGTAACCGGATTTAGGTTAATTTGTATGACGTAGTTAAGTGACGTCATAATGGCGCACTGTGACTTAGGCAGAAATGTGTCTATGACTTGGGGACAAACGCAATTTTGCAACTTGGCTATATGCACCAGTCCTGAAAACTAAACATTCCAAAAACGAATGTAATTCTCAGTATCTGGAATGTCTAATCCCCAAAATAGCTAATCAGTTTCAATTACATTATTTTTTATGTTTAAAAATATATATTTCATCAATATAACACGTTCTGCACACCCACCGAAATAAGGTTAAGATTAAATATAAAGAATAAAACAACAATGCATTCAGTATAAAAGCCAACCAAGGTGAATTGGACTCGGACAGTGAATATCACAAGTGCACGCCTTCCTATACTGTACTACTGTAGTATAAATTTAAATTATTACACGCTAAGCTAGAATCCGAAATGCAAAAACTCGAAAATACTTCGCATAGGTTATTTTGCCTTTGTGAGGTCACAATAGTCCCGCGGTAACAATGATGCTTCATTACGACGAAACAATAGACCTTATTCATTAAAAACCCATCCTACGCGCAAAAAAAGTGATGTAAAAAAATATTTTTTAACATTAGCTCTAATGGGGAATGTCATCACCAGAGCAGAAATTTGCATTTTATGTAATTTTCTAGATATCTTTCATTGTATACGTTTTGAGGATAGAACGATAGACGTATTAGCAGTCGCAGAGATGGATTTTCTGGCATGGTTTTAACATTGCCTTGTTTTCGCATAGTATTTGTTAGTTTTTGGTTGTGTTTTGGAAATTTTAGATAGAATCAGGAATTTCAATGATTAGGTGACAGCACATTTGCAGTCTGGACATTTGCACCTGTATACTTTTTCACCTACCGACACTTGTGTTTCGTTCTTTACGGGTTCTCAACACATGACTCGACATCACTCAACTTATATTAACAGTAAACATAAAAAGCACTGCACAGTAAGACAGTTGCAATAGGACTATCACGTTTTACAAGGACAACCAAGCACATTAAACACAGATGGCGCTATACGGTATATTACATCATATCGTAACAACTTGCACTCATAGATTTGTACCCATAGTTTTACATTAGCAACCATGCACTTTTGCAACCAGTACATTTGCACCCGCGGACATTTACATTTGCACCACAGACATTTGTACTTATAGACATTTGCACCCGCGGATATCTACGCCAACGTACATTGCACCCATAGATGCGAATATCCGTGAAGTTAAAGATTCATGAGTGCAAATGTACGTTGGTGCAAAGGTAGTGGGAGCAAATTTTTGTTGGGTTCAAAAGTACATAGGTGCAAATGTCTAATGGGTTCAAATGTATGTGGGTGCAAATGTCCATGGATTCAAATATTCATGGGTTCCAATGTTCATAGGTACAGTCTGTATGTGGGTGCTAAAATCTGCGGGTGCATATGTCCGTGGGTACAAAGATAATGGAACCAAATGATTATACTGTTTTCTCGCATAGTTTAATTGCAAAAATCAAAAATTAGTAATAGCTGTGATAGACAATAACAGGGTTGAATATTTTGAATTAAAATGATTATTTGAAACATATAAACTAGTTCAAAGCGCCAACTCGCGAAACCAGCCTTAAAATGAGCATCTAAAATGTTGCAATTGTAAAATAAAATAGGAAGAAATTTTCTGGGGAAATGGCCGGTAAAACATCCGTTGTTGACTCACCATCACCAAAGTCAGTCAGTTACACATGATTAACATAATGTCAGCTTTTAATTAAATAAAGACACATCGAGAAAAACATGTGAAATAACGCGAACTCTTTTACAGCTTGACTTTGCTGCCCCCCTACAACATGCTGCCCGGGGCGGGGCCCCTTTCGCCCCCTCTATCTGAAATTACCCGCACCTACCAGCATAAACTAAATTAAAACTCGTTCGCGGGACGCACGCCATTCAAAGGCAAGTAGGCTTTGCAAGTAAGGCAAGGAAACCTTTGACTCTGAGGTTGGAAGTGATCAAGAAAAGAATGATATTGAGAAAGGATGATACTGATAGGGAAAGAATGAAAAGAGGGTAAAAATTGATGTGAAATAACAATGAAAAAAAAACGAAAAAAACACGCCTTAGAAAAGCAAGGATATAGGTGACGCGTACAATAAAGACCATAGGAGTACAAAACTTATAATTATTACATATAATCTTCAGTTCTTCCAAAACTTCCTTCTTTAATTTGTAATCGGCTTCCCTCAAAATTAATTTTTGAACTTTGAAAGGCAAGTACCTATATAATAATATTCACTAACAACGTGCGGCAAATTTGCTTGCGTGATTCGGCATAATTCCAAACAATATAATGATGCATTGAAACCAGATACCCTCGAGGGAAAACTGTTAGTATTAATTTGTTTATATAAGAATAAAGTTTCCGATTGTGATGAATAGTTTGTTTATCAGATACTTCTGATTTGTGAATTAGAACAAGTAGTTTAAGATTTGAACTTTTCTTTGAATTGTTTGAATTGAATTGTATTTTCTACAAATATCAGAAAACTTGCCTCGAATTCAACAATATTTTTGCAAATGCTCTGGTAAATTACAGTAATTGATATCTTTCATTTTACGTGATTTTCGACAGAATATTGAAGATTTTCAGGCCAAAAATGTAAACGTATAAATTTACCACTCTTTAAACCCTAACATTTTTTTAAAAATAAATCTATACTAGTCACATTCATAGTTGTAAATAGATTTTCAACATGAGAGAAAAGAGTTTATTTGTTAAAGCACTGTTTTTGGGGTATACGACCATATATATTCCTCCAGTCGTTATGAATATTTTAACTCATTTCCAGAATATAATTTTTAACGTTTTGGCCGTTTATAAAATAGAAGAATACGATATGTATCAATAATACTTATCTGTAAATTAACCGGGTATTTGATTTCAATTCATATTCAATATACAATTAGGTGTTAGCATTAGGGTTGCCAACTATGAAAAGTTTCAATAAAATACATAGATTACCGTCATCATTTATTTTGTAACTTGCAGGAAATAACAATATAAAACAATGAAATAAAAATTGTATACAAGCTAAAAATATATCTAAAACAATCTTCATGTGTTTTTCATTTAATGTTAATTTAACATTGGCCCAAACAATGTTAATAAAATTATTATTTCTTTGGCTATTTGAGCCGGATCAAAGCGAAATTAAAAAGAATAAATAAAAGCTTGCAAATATATAAACGGAGGCAATGTTTTGAGAACTGAACAATATCAAACACAGTACTATAACTATCGGGCAAAACGACGTTGGGAAGAATAAAAGACAATTAGCATCTTTTCTAAATGCTAAGAAGGACAAAGACCAAAAAGCTTAACCAAAGAATTGTCTTTTGAAATAAAAGACGGTTGGCAACCCTAGTTAGCATATAACAGAAATGATATAATTTAAGAACAACTTTTGGTCGCAATGTTGATACAAAATTACATAGAATTTGCTCAACCTAGCCCTGATCCATTATCTTATTTACATTTTTTGCGCATTCGCAGACCACTGCATCTTTATCATAATTTTAATCGGTGATGTGAATGTTCCTTGTATCATAAAACATTTAATAACTCCATTTTGCCGCGAGTGTTACTTCCGTTTAAAAGTGTAACGAGTTTCTCTAATACCGATGAATTGCAAAACCTTTTGTTTTCTATACATTACATTCAACAAAAACAGCTTGGAGACCAAAAAAGCCTCGTCCGGAAAGACTTCAATAAAACAGTTATCTAAGAGCCCATTGATGATTCGGAACAAGCAATGGCGTCCAATATTCACTGCATATGCAATATAAATGCAATACCAAGTACATCACTGTATGAATTAAAAGTGCGAACTATTGAATTTTCCAAATATGTAGGGTTATTCAAAAATTATAGGGTAGAAGTATATTGCTGACTGAATATGCATTTTATAGTAGAAAAACATTGTCAGCAAGCAACGTTTGCTGAAATTTACAACTACATAAAGACGTTATATTCAAGTTCGGAGTAATTATCTAATCATACGTTTTGTTTCATTGTGGTTTGCGGCAGAAAGTGTTTATTTAGACTATTGTGTTGTTACATTTCTTCCCAAAAACATCTCGTGAAAGTCAAGTTCAATACTAACTCATGTTATAGCAAGCTTTAACGGTTGAATGAATGTTACTTATATTTCAACAATCCTGAGTGGTTGTATGCTTCAACAATTCGCCCTATAATTTTGCTCTGAGATTCGAACTAGAGTGTGTAAAAAGTAAATTTACTACGCTAATGAAAGGGTTTATTTTTCATTTTTTGTGTGTAAAGTCGCCGTTATACGCTTGGTAAGAAACATCAACGTATATTGTTCATACTAATAGTCTATTGCAATCGGATGAGCTCGAAGGTGGAAATTATATATGATTTAATTTCATATCAATGAAAACGAAACAAACGATTACGTCGACGTCAGTCCAGATTGCTAAACAGATCTACGGCAAATTCGGGAATGAGGATTGTGAACATCGCACATAATACTTTTATCCTGACGCACCAACGTAGATATCCCCTCGGGGTATGTTTGAGCGTCATGAAAGGCAGTCGAGCAAGCTCAGTACTTAATTTGAGTAACACTATACCCTGAGTAAGAAATACAGTATATTAGCAATATAGGCGTTTATATGAATATCTGGATTCAACTAGTTGTACAACGATGTATCAAAGGACAGTTGAATGTGTAGTATATACCTTGGTAGAAAGTTATCATTTATAAAGAGTTTAACCCAAAAAAAAAGAAATACTTGTAATAAAGTAATATAAATATATATATAGGAACTCGAGAAGTTATTTCCAGCGTCATCTTTTGTATTGTACAGCATGTGAAACGACTCGATAATAAATAAAGATAGCTGATATGATTTACCATTAGGCTACATATGCATAAATAAAGCTGACAGCCATGAAGCATACCCCCTGAGAGTAAACAATTAGTACATTGATGATAACCGGCTTTTTAAACGCTTTTTTGGTTTCACAATTGAGAAAGGATATTGTACCACAATTATACATTTGTGTTTTTAATATTAAACTGAAGGGACCAAGACGCGCACTACTAGCACATTCATGACACTTTTTAATAAAATTTCGATAATTCGATAAAAAACGGTACAAAAAATTTTGAAAGTCACATGTTCGAGCAATTTTAGTCCGTCAGTTTTGTTGTTAAGAGTTTTTCCATGAGCAATCCATTATTTTACTTTTTTTTTTTTCATCTTCAGTGGCCTAAATTTTGTTCAAAAATTGGTTTTACATTTTTACAAGACAATTCAATCATGTAAGTTAAAGTTACAAAGGACTTGTTACTGGTTATCAGTGCTTGCCTAATCAAATGTATAACGCGTTTGTTTCTGTATCAAATGCGTGATGTGCCCCTGCCATAGTCAACTGATCAGGTTGTCGAGGTTATTCTGAGGTGGGCCTCGTCAAAAGAAATCTTACTACCTGTACTATGAACAGATTTAGCAGATTTTTCTATTCTTAATTGAATAATGCAATCCGATTCCCTTCTTAATTTTGCTTTATGTCTAATAAGATATATATTTGCGAACATTAGGGTTTAAATTTGAATTTAATGACACCAATTTGGTGTCAGTTCAACTCCGCTTTATATTTAATTAACGAATACGTTGTAAAAAAATATAAATTTTGGTTTTCTTGTATTGTTCAGATTACATTGTTTAGATAAAAGGAATAAATATAATATTATGTTCTTAACTAATTTATATTTTGCAATACGTTGATCAGTTTGCATCCTTACATCAATCGGGGCACATATAGGAAACGCCGTCATGTTAAGCAATAAAAAGAAATGTAGTTTAATCATAGCGGCTATGGCACTTTTGCTCATACTAACCTTTTCTTCGAAGATGGAACGCAGGTAGTAATTTGTAAAATATGATATTTCAGTGTTGTTCTAAAATGAGATATTGTCAGCAGCAACGATTACGACAACTGGGTACTAAGTATTAAGGTTCAAGTTTCATCTAATTTATAATTAAAATGTTTCAACTATAGCAGTTTAAACCACTATTGAGAATGCTCTTAGTGATATGTACTGATTGTTACTTTTTTGTGAAATGTATACCCAATTTATCAAATTTTACCACTTTGAAAGGAATACCTTTTTTATTCTTGTAATGTATATTGTTATTACCCATTCATAACAATGAATTTTGACATTATACAAAGATTTCGTTATTTTTAGGACTACATTAACTGCACTTCAAGAGACTAATGACATAGACAAGGTCTCAACGGCAAAACAAGCCACCAGCACAATATCAACAACGGAGAAACCAATGTCGAAATCAACTAAACCAAAACAACCAGACACTCCAGACCCAGATCCAGTACTAGAGTGGGAGTCCCAAACGCAACCCACAACCAAATTGGACCCATATACTCTTCGCTGTAAAGGTGCGTCTTATTTACACCGAATAATTACAAAAAAAAATTGACTTTTCTATAACTGTGAATTTGAGTAGAAGATTACGAATATTAATAGAAAAAATGCTACTTTTGTGTATCTAAATTTCAAAGTAATTAAATAAAATTAGAAATGGTATCCAAAAATTGGCATTTAATTTGCTGTGTACGTATATGTATACCCCGATACCATAAGATCAATCATTAGTTAAGAACTTGCTGAAAATAATTTGTCCGAGTGGTTTAATCAAGTTAGCAAGTCAGAGTGGACTTTCCAATTGAGATTGAGCTTCAAACAATAATTTTATTCCGATATGAGACAACCTAATATTTTTGAAGTCGTTAAAGAATACAAATTTATTTTAATGAATTGTTACAGTTCGAGACATGGGATGTTTTATTATGGTTCAACAAGGGCAAAGTGTATTCGGAAAAATCCCTGCAGAAACGTCAGAAGTGAAACTCCAGAAGACACAGACAGCAAAAGAAATTTGCTTTGACAGTTGCTTTTCGAAGTAAGCTAGAATTGCGAATGGTCATTCCGAAATATTCAAAGAAAAAAGTTTGTAACTTTAGTGAAATAAAAAGATTCTCTAAACTTTTAGGTTTAAGCATACACAAACCGAAGTTCAGACGCAAACAAAATTAAATAATTTTTTGTCTTTGCCGTAGAAGTAATTAGGAAAATAATGAGTTCCGTTTTTTTTCGGGTCACTCTGATACTTTAACATAGAGTTGTTATAAATCATATAGTAACGTAGCTTTTCAATGTACAGCTCATATACACTGTCGGCATTCAACGCAGCACAGAAGCGGTGCATATGTAGTACTCGGTTTGAAGGGTTTATTTCGAACAAAAGAACACGAGCAGCGGAGTCATATGGTGCAGCACAAAAATGTAAAGCGCCAAGTAGCTTCCATGTCTACAGCAAAATTAGGGATTGTGAGAAAGGTGGGCTGTGATAAATTTGCATCAAGTTTTGATGGTACATAGTAAATAAGACGATATTTAGCAGTACGACTTCTGGATCCCCATTTACAAAAATGTATTTCAATTGCCATAAATTATATCTCCTAGAATATTGTCAAGTTACGTTTGTGAATGTATTATTATCATTCTTATGAATTTCTTTTTTTTATCTATTCGAATGAACGATATAGTCGCATATATATCACCCTTTGACGGGGTTTGATTGGGGCCATTCCTGTTGTCAAATATTGTAGAAGGAACCGAACAAATAGATCTTTATCAACTAATAATATCAACGTATAATAGCATTGCATTGACAGGTGTATCAGGTCATTCATTGCAGCAAGATAGAGTTGGATGCATGTTGATACCGGAAAGGTTGAATCGAAAAATGATTGCGCTCTCAGAATTCCAAATATCAATAGAGCAATGCATTTTGAATTGTGAAATGAGACAATTCACCTATGCAGTGCCGATACCACAAAAAAGTGCTTGTTTATGCTCAGACTCCTATTCACTGTGAGTACAATTGCTATTCTTCACTCGTCTTCTCCGGTTGTATCACTTGCGAGTTTAAAAATGTTCATCTCTCTCATTTTCAGATTTGAAACTGTCGACAACATGACGAGAATAATGTCAAGATGCAATGATAAAACTAAAAAATTAAAATCAGATAAAGAAGTTGAGGTTTTCAGAACGACCGTAATTGACGAACATTGCGATCCACTGAGGTAACGTATATGTTTAGCGATATGGGCATTCGCGTTAGTCAATGTTATTTCAACATGTATAAACTAAACCCGTGAAGGATTGAGGAATGTGAGGCAGTTGCGCCAATGAAGTTTTACGACAACAGGTATACGATGTTGTTTACAAACGTGAAGTGTTTCGAAAAAATCTTTACAACGCCTCTGAAGTGATAAAATCTGCGATAAATTTAAGGAATATGAAATCATGTTTTAAACAAGTTTTATTTTATAAAACTCACCCGTGTCGAACCCATCCAGAAGAAATCAGTTAATTGGAAAATATACCACGGTATCAAAAATTGTTAATAAATTCTTTTGGTGCTCCCGAAGTATGCGAACCAAGATGGCGGACATCGGTAACATGGGTAATAGGTTGGGGTTAGGCGATAATTTTTTTCCAGTTTTCCCTATTTTAGTCCTATTATCAGTTCGAAGACTAGCCAAGAGCCTCCCGTAGTATTTATACCTAAAATTATGGCCTAACCCTAACCTAGTACACATATTACATTCCGATGTCCGCCATCTTGGTTCGCATACTTCGAGAGCCCCATTCTTTTTCCATGCAAAGTTAGTTACACTTCCACTCAGAAGACTTGATTGAAAGTTAGCTATAGATTCGATATTTTTCAATCATTAAATTTTTCATCGGTGTTTTTTATTTATTTTTTGCTTTTTGTTTATTTTTGATTTAATTAATTTGCTAAATTTTTTAGGCATAATTTTATGTTTTTCAGATTTCTTTTGCCAAGACAAAACAAACCTATTTTGCTTGCAAGTTACTATGGTTCTGGCAACACATGGATAAGACATTTAATTGAAGTTGCAACAGGAATATATACAGGAAGTGTATATAACGATATCTATATATACGAAGGAGGTATTACCACAAATTTTATGTACAGGGTGTCTCAAAAGTAAGTATACACTTTTGTGATTTTGATTTTCTTTTTCGGTAGCCTACTCATCATAGAGCGTTCATTTTTTTCAAGAAACACAGTATGGATCAGTAGTATAATTTAGATATTGTTTGCATTTTTCAACAACACACAGAATGACAAGGAAATTCACCCAAGAAATGAGGTGAAAAATTGCTATTTGGCAATTAGCACATAAAACAGTGAGGCATTCAGCACTTTACGACGAAGAATTACGCAATTCTTTAAAAAATCATGAAAACTGGATCTGTAATTTATGCACAAAGATCAGGAAGACCAAGGAGCGGACGCTCTGAGAAAGCTGAATTAGTTTCAAATTCTCTGTTAAAGAGACGCTATGTTTGCCTTACTGATGTACATGCTTCTTGCCAATAAGCAATTTTGCTTCTCATGTTTGAGGTTAATCTGCTTGGCATTCGGTGGGTTGTTGAAAAATGCAAACAATACCTAAATTTTACTAGTTATCCATATACTTGTTTCATGGAAAATGAAAATTCTATGATGAGTACCTTGAAAGCAAATCAAAATTAAAAGTGTATACTTAATTATGAGACATCCTGTATGTTACGCATCTAAAACAGGAATTTTGAAGATTCTAACATGGGAGAATTTTCTGGATTTTCGAATATGTTAAATCAGGATGTAATGACTAACCTATTCCAAACGCTTGAGCAAGTTTTATTTTTTATTCGGCGTTGAAGATATGACAGTCTTATAGCATGTATCAAATTTCGAAACGCTTCCTGCCTGTTTGCATGAATTCATTTACACAGCAGAGTGATTTTCGTGGTGCTTTTTACAGGTATGCTTGGAGAATATTTACCAGATTTCGCAGGTAGAACAATCGTCGTAAAAGATCACTTGTTCAAACTCAAAATTCCTCCTCATCATACAATGGCAGTCTTACTTATACGCAACCCTTATGATGCAACTTTAGCTGAGTTTGTGAGAAAAAAAACTCGCAATCACACGGGAGTTATAGACAACGACATATTCCGAAGTCCAGGTAATATTATTAAAACAGTGAAGATAATGAAAACGAATAAAAATAGATTTTGAACAAATCATGAAGGATATTGAAAAAAGGGAAATGGAACTCATATACGATTATCTGACATTTTCAATATAGTAAATAATCTCAAGAATTCTCAATGAATCTAGAAGTTTCCAATGCTCTGTACCTATAAATATATATTAATTATATGTTCTTTTCAGAATTCAAACGTTATGCCTCGAATCGACCGGACTATTGGTTCGGCATCACGAATGTTGTTTTGAAAACATTTATGGAAAAAGTTGTTGTCGTTTACTTCGAAGATCTGGTGAAAAATTCAATTAAAGAAATGCGCCGCATCGTTGAATTCTTACCTGAAGAAATTGTTGGATCGGATGAAGAATCATTTGAACGGAGACTAATGTGTATGAACTTAGATTTAGTAGGAAATTTTAAGCGTCCACCACGAAAACTGAACTTCGATCCCTTTGATGCATTTATAAGAAATAAATTCGATAAGAAAATTCGGGAAATGGACGATTTATTACTCGAACACAACCACCCTCCATTACCAGATTCGTATTTCTTACCGTACTAGTCAATATATTACTTTTCACTGTGTAAAATATTTAGCGATTGTGGAATTAAACTGCAATTATGACTGCAGTGACAAGTATTTATAGACATAATTTTTGATATTAATTCTGACCTTGCAACTGCTGACTTCACTCAATCATGAGCATCGCACATGAAAGAGTAAATAGTAATTACATCCAGTACATAGTTATTAGAATTCCGATTTCAAATAAGCAAACAAATTTATCTTTTGTATGCAAAATCATGACAAACATTTATAGTAATTTATATATAAAAATAGTGATTTTGTATATTTCAAAAAAACGCATTGATTGATAGCTTTGACCCATGTATATGTAGGCTAATTTTGCACATTGCTATTAACTTTATAAGTTTGTTTGCAACTTTTATATAGATATCGACATTTTATTTAAGTTCCTTAAGTTTACCGTTAATTAGAAATTGAATATTGATGCACTGCACACATCGTGCACACGCGGTTTGTTTTACGATAGACTAAACATAATTTATTTTTATTCTGAGTTTATTCTGGTGTTCACGGTTGATTTTTTAGCCAGTCTCAGTATATATTTTCTACCAAGTAGAACAATTAAACGCTTCGTAGAAGTGAAATAAGTTATGATATCAGGTGTTTCAATTTATTGTTCAAAGCTGTTCATTTCTACAGCTGACAACACCATAAAATGTGCTTCGAGAAACCCATTTTATTTTAATTAAGGTTGACAGAATTTCTGATATGCGCAGTTTCTGTCTTATTTGCGGAATTGATGATAAAAATATTTCGTTTTGCCCTCCGTGATGACTCTATATATATATTGCAGTGCAATGCGTACAAAGAACTATATTAAACAAGTTAGGAAATGTAAAATTTGTCACACCTTAAAAATAAGGGGGAGGAAGGAAATCACTGGGTATATGTCTCATTCTAATTTTGTAATTACATACAGCTCTAATATTTTAATGAGATTACATTCGTTCGCCTGTACCTCTTTTTCCTCACATTTATTCTCTGCATCCCGAAATTGAATATACAAGTCACTGCAAATCTTTCTAAATTTAGGTAGGTTTCGACAACGCCACCATAAAATACCCCAAATATTCGTACAGCACGACCATTTTTGATGACTGTAGTCCACATAAAACGGGGAATACCACGACCGGATATCTGGTGTGCGGAGCTCTTTATACCGTGCAATTTAGATTGGTTAACATTACTCTCGGCAATAACAGTTCTCAAAAAATATTAATAAATAATTTCCCGATCTTCTAAGTCCTAATTAGATATTGGAACCTTGGGTTCCGCTTGGTTCGCCGCGACTTCCTCTCTTTAATAAAATATATGTGTTCAACATTTTCGCGTAATTTTGAGTTTGTTTCGTTTTTTTATTTTGCTGACTGTTGACTATGACTATGTTTAGACAGCATTACTTTGATATTTTCTTTCTTTCTGGAATACGTTATTTCGCCAGAATTTTCACAAACAAAAACACAAAACCGAATCCCATAAAGCCCACGGATTTTCTTGAACTAAATAAGATTAATAGCTTTCCAGCGACAACAACGATCTTTGAGCAATGGACATTCCAAATCAATTGGTCACGTAGTCAAAGAGAAAAGTGAAAATAACAACAGCATGAAGTAGAAAAATACCAACAATAACAACGCATTACCAAAATGACACCTAGGACCTAGGTCCACTTCATTTTCAATAAATCTTGAATATATATACGTTTGCTTTTGATTGAATGTATAAATTTTATGTAGCTGGCTAGCTGCTAGCTGTTTGCAAACCAACTCACCCTGTTAGATTTTATGCAAACCTTCAAATTCAATGTTAATGAAGTTTAATTTAGTTATAGTTTGACATAGTTTCCTGATTCCCTTCAACTGCTATTTATACAAACTTGACTTTCCTGTTGGTATTTTTCCATTGTCCATCATAGTATTATGTCGCATATGCGGTTTGTGATATGGTCACTGTATTCGCATAATTGTTTATTCCTTAATTCTTAGTAGATATCGTTAAGGTAAATTTGTAGCTTTAGTGACTATCAGTAAATTTGCTAGGATATACTTGAAAGCATTGTATACCGACCAAATATAAGGTTATTGTTCATTATCAGCGACATTTTAAAACCTTGCTATGTAGACTTTTTGTAAAATTTAAAGCTTGGAGCAAATTTGCAAAGTTACATGGGTGCAAATGTCCATGGTTGCAAATATTCCTTTGATGAAAATATTCGAAAGTGCAATACGGGTGCTAAACTATGTGAGTGCAAATATCGGTTAGCTCAGGAGTATATAGGTGCAAACCTACTTGGGTGCTAATGGGATTTCATCATGGTGTAGGCCAGTGGTTCCCAAACTTTTTGTACCATCGCCCCCCTAAAGTAGTTTATACAAGTTCATCGCCTCCCGGCACTGCGAAAAAAATGTAAAGTCTGAAACGAATATATTACAGACCAAATAACGAGACAAACCATAGTTTATAGTATTTTTAATGAGATGGATAAGCTTGGTGTTCTTCAGCGAGTTTTTTTATAATATCCAAAATTACCCTGTTTCATGATGGAAAGGCGATTTCGTTGTTTTGATAGCAATAGTAGCACAGCTGAAAAGCCCTCATCATATTAGCGGTCGGAAATGAAAGAATCTAGGGTTCTACCTCCTCAAAAACCGCCGTGTACTCTTGCCTTATAGCATTTAACTCCCTAAATTCACCCCATTTTACATTTAGGGTTGCTAATCTTTTGCGGGTCGCATATATTTTTTGAAAGTTAAAAACGGAAGGAACAGCGGGCAAAAACCGCCAACTCAGTCGTCTTATTAAAAAATTATTACAATGACATCTAATGTGACACTGTCTTGTTGCTGCATCACACTTGATAGCTTTACGACGCCAAGATTGAAAGATTTCTTAAATGGGCATCACTTATCCTAGTTCTAGCTTGTTCTTTGTAATGTTCATTTTCGAAAATAATTGTTCGCACACATATGTACTTCCAAACATCGAAATGAATGTTATCGCATGGTTTGTCAAATTTTGATGAAGATATTCTTAAAGAAGATACACTCTTACAAATATTAAGCAGTGATGAATCCCCCGAATAGAATATGAATTTTATTACCTTATTGCATTGCAATATATTCTAATATTTACTGCGCTATTGAACCCCTGCACTCAGCATCAACTTTTCTGCGTGTTTCTTATTGTCTAATTATAATTGAATTGTAGGTTCGTTAAACGAGAAGCTGTTTAATATAATTTTAAGGATATAATAGAATTTGGTCTGAACTTGCCTCACGATAAATTCTGTTACATAAAAAAATGTAAATTTACTACTCGAGCCAAGATTATAAATAAAAAATTTTCATCGTCAAAACCGCCGTTTGGATATTTTCCCGGGCATAGACTTCCTTGTTTACTTCGTGACATTGGCCAATCAGCAAGATGCAAAAAACGTAACAATGCCCCCTTTCGCAGGCGCTCAGACACTCTCACTGAGACAGATTTTCCGGCGTGGTCGTGAGCACTACCTCATTTTCGCGTTTTTGAATTATATTCGTTAGTATTAAGTTGTTTTTCGGAAATTTGAATATAAATCAAACAAGTCAATGAATACTTTGTCTTTCTATGAGTTTCAGTTTAAATACAGCAATCAAAAATTAGTGTAGAAATAGCTGTGATAGACTAGGCTAAAATTCTTTATCGGTACTTTTAAAAAAACAGATTGTTAAATGGTGTGTATTAGAATGATAGTCTGAAACAAATACCCCATTTTACAGGCAACAACTCGCAAAACCACTCTTAAAATAAGCACCGAAAATTTTAAAATGGTAAAGTATGGAAAGAATTTTCCGCGATCAAAGATCGGGGAAAGGTCCATTCAGTGAATCGTCCCGGGCCAGATTATTTTACTCCGGCAGTATTTTGCCGACCACTGGGATACGCAAACTACCTTACCTTACTGCTATAGACAACACAATAAAATGTGCTTCGAGAAACCCATTTTATTTTAATTGAGGTTGACAGAATTTCTGATATGCGCAGTTTCTGTCTTGTTTGCGGAATTGATGATAAAAATATTTCGTTTTGCCCTCCGTGATGACTCTATATATATATTGCAGTGCAATGCGTACAAAGAACTATATTAAACAAGTTAGGAAATGTAAAATTTGTCACACCTTAAAAATAAGGGGGAGGAAGGAAATCACTGGATATATGTCTCATTCTAATTCTGTAATTACATACAGCTCTAATATTTTAATGAGATTACATTCGTTCGCCTGTACCTCTTTTTCCTCACATTTATTCTCTGCATCCCGAAATTGAATATACAAGTCACTGCAAATCTTTCTAAATTTAGGTAGGTTTCGACAACGCCACCATAAAATACCCCAAATATTCGTACAGCACGACCATTTTTGATGACTGTAGTCCACATAAAACGGGGAATACCACGACCGGATATCTGGTGTGCGGAGCTCTTGGTACCGTGCAATTTAGATTGGTTAACATTACTCTCGGCAATAACAGTTCTCAAAAAATATTAATTAATAAATAATTTTCCGATCTTCTAAGTCCTAATTAGATATTGGAACCTTGGGTTCCGCTTGGTTCGCCGCGACTTCTTCTCTTTAATAAAATATATGTGTTCAACATTTTCGCGTAATTTTGAGTTTGTTTCGTTTTTTTATTTTGCTGACTGTTGACTATGACTATGTTTAGACAGCATTACTTTGATATTTTCTTTCTTTCTGGAATACGTTATTTCGCCAGAATTTTCACAAACAAAAACACAAAACCGAATCCCATAAAGCCCACGGATTTTCTTGAACTAAATAAGATTAATAGCTTTCCAGCGACAACAACGATCTTCGAGCAATGGACATTCCAAATCAATTGGTCACGTAGTCAAAGAGAAAAGTGAAAATAACAACAGCATGAAGTAGAAAAATGCCAACAATAACAACGCATTACCAAAATGACACCTAGGACCTAGGTCCACTTCATTTTCAATAAATCTTGAATATATATACGTTTGCTTTTGATTGAATGTATAAATTTTATGTAGCTGCCTCAAAATTAAGTTCGTTTGGTATAATTTATCATCATTTGGTATTAATAACTGTTTGCAAACCAACTCACCCTGTTAGATTTTATGCAAACCTTCAAATTCAATGTTAATGAAGTTTAATTTAGTCATAGTTTGACATAGTTTCCTGGTTTCCTTCAACTGCTATTTATACAAACTTGACTTTCCTGTTGGTATTTTTTTCCATCATAGTATTATGTCGCATATGCGGTTTGTGATATGGTCACTGTATTCGCATAATTGTTTATTCCTTAATTCTTAGTAGATATCGTTAAGGTAAATTTGTAGCATTAGTGACTATCAGTAAATTTGCTAGGATATACTTAAAAGCATTGTATACCGACCAAATATAAGGTTATTGTTCATTATCAGCGACCTTTTGAAACCTTGCTATGTAGACTTTTTGTAAAATTTAAAGCTTGGAGCAAATTTGCAAAGTTACATGGGTGCAAATGTCCATGGTTGCAAATATTCCTTTGATGAAAATATTCGAAAGTGCAATACGGGTGCTAAACTATGTGAGTGCAAATATCGGTTAGCTCAGGTCAGGAGTATATAGGTGCAAATCTACTTGGGTGCTAATGGGATTTCATCACGGTGTAGACCATAGAATTCAAGTATGAATGAGAATGCCTCTTTTCCGAGTCGCTCTCTAAACGCTCTCGTTTGCATGAAGTAAAATACTGTAGTTTTGAGACAATCGTGGAATCGGTGAAGCATGAAAACATCCCGTATCGAAATTTTCATGCGAAGTTAAGATGGCATACGAGGTTATGAACCTTTCCTCGAACATCCACTTCCTTGTTTACTTCGTGACATTGGCCAATAAGAAAGAGGCAAAAAGTGACGTAACAATGCTCCCTTTTCGCATCCGCTCATACACTTTTCTCACTCAGACAGATATTCAAGCGCGGTCGTAAACATTACCTCGTTTTCGCGTTTTTGAACTCTATTCGTTAGTTAGGCTTCCCGCTGCTTGTCAGCAGGGAACCTATTGTATTCCTGTGTTTTATTATTATTATTATTATTATTATTTATTTATTTATTTTTATTATTTTTTTTTCAAATTGGTCCTACAAACTTGAAATTCACCTCAAATGTGCAGAAGTTCTCAGCTAGCAAAAAAATGCAAATTTTATGCATGACTGACCACGCTTTCACGCTCCAGTGAGCAAAACGCGTTTTCAGTTTTTTTGCGATTTCTCAAAATTGATACATGCTATTGAGTTGAAATTCATAACAATGATTAATGGACATGTTCCGGATACGATATGTCAAGGATACGCATGAGTGACCTCGGCGATACGCTCCAGTGAGCAATATAGGATTTTACATTTTCATCTTCTCCTCGAGAACGACACTACTTAGAGACTTGAAATCTACATCACATGCAGATAATAAGTCCCCCATCATAAATTGCAAATTTTATGCATGACTGACTACGCTTTCACGCTCCAGTGAGCAAAACGCGTCTTCAGTTTTTTTGCGATTTCTCAATATTGATACATGCTATTGGGTTGAAATTCATAACAATGATTAATGGACATGTTCCGGATACGATATGTCAAGGATACGCATGAGTGATCTCGGCGATACGCTCCAGTGAGCAATATAGGATTATACATTTTCATCTTCTTCTCGACAACGACACTACTTAGAGACTTGAAATTTACAACACATGCAGATAATAAGTCCCCCATCATAAATTGCAAATTTTATGCATGACTGACCACGCGTTCACGCTCCAGTGAGCAAAACGCGTCTTCAGTTTTTTTTACGCGGGAAGCCTGTTAAAGCTGCACGCAGCTCTAGTTTTCAGTTGTGTTTCGGAAACTTAAATATGAATCAGATAATTCAATGATCACTCTGTTTTCCTAGGAGTTTTAATTTAATTGCAGCAATGAAAAAATTAGTGTAGAAATAGCTGTGATAGACTAGGCTAAAATTCTGTACCGGTACTTTTAAAAGACAGATTATTGTATGCGCTGAATCATAATGATGGTTCGAAACACATACCCCATTTTACAGGCGCCAACTCGAAAAAGCACTCTTAAAATAGCCCCGAAAATTTTGCAATGTTAAAATATAGGAAGAATTTTTCGGGGGTTAAAGGTCGGTGAAAGGTCCATTGCATTTGACGGAAATATGAGACGAAATTGCTCACGTATCTCTGTTTTTCCTTTTCGCCATCGTATTCATGTTTGCATTGCACTTTACTTGTTACAGTTTTCCAACAAATATATATATATAATAGTACCATATACTTCTCCGGTTTCAATACTGACTCCTATATATTTGAAACATCCACAAAATTTGTCTGCAAAACGAGGCCGTATGAGGAGACGTGAAAACAGGATCATTTCATTTCAAGTTAGGTTCCTTGACGTTTATACCAGGGTGGTTCAAACTCAGGCCGGCCGCTTCATTATCTGTGGCCCGCGTCGCATTGGCACGAGGGAGAACAAAAAATCATATTTGGTGTTGTTTCGTCATAAAAATAACCAGAAAAATCTATTGACGTATTGTCTAGCTGAGGCAAAGATGAATAATGTGCTTGGCTAGTCTAAATTTTGAACTGGCTTTTTATTTTTTGGTCGGGAATATATGCTAACAAAATAGGCTTCAAAAAAAAACTAAAAGTCGAATGAGGATTCTATTAGCTTAGGATGGCTATGCCTGTTAACTAAATATTAATGTAATGGTCAAACAATATAATTCCTGCCGCGTGTTTTGATGCAACAAGTCCAAACAGTATTACAAAAAATGCTGTCTATAGTCCATGTCAGAAAGTCATTTGTGCATTGTTCGAGCGCATTATGAAGTACGTAATAACCCATAGCTATCGGATATTCACTGCAGGTATGTTGGGACAATTTTTGGCGGAGTTTTCTAGAAAAATTCTTGTCGTTAAATATCATTTATTTGGACCCAAAATCTCACCCAACTACAAAATGGCAATCTTGCTTGTAAGTAACTCGTACGATGCGACATTGGCTGAGTTTACTAGAAGAAATACATGGAGTCACACGCGAGTCGCAGACAACGATAGTTTCAAAAATCAAGTAAAAAAGAATGAGCAGTTGATGAACTGTGTTCACTTTTAAAAGTCTTTCCGGGCTTCTGAGTCTGTCTCTGTCATCCTGCCACTTGATGTCGTTTTCCACCGTTTCGTCAATATGATTTTGTGCTCGATTTGTATCAAATGCGTGTTTGGTATATCCACCCTACCCAGGTATAATGTACGAGGTTACGATTAAAGTAAGTTTACTTTTCGAGCTTTTGTGTACACAGTCTACTCTATGTTTGTATAGCAAAATTTCGTTACTTTCGTGTTTTGCATGCTTTTATGCATATATGTATTGACACTCGACTCGCTTAAACTCACTTGGTATCCAAACTCACACGATTCTTATTCTTCAACTTATGCACGTCAAATCATTCTTTTAAATAAATTTTTCACACATTTCAACCAACCGTCATCATTTCAATATTGGCGGTAAGTTTAGATATGTAGGCACTATTGAAAAATTAGCTCTATGGCAGACTTCGTGGTGTTACACGAAATTGTACACTGATTAAAATAATTCAGTAACTCTGATCGAAAAATCATTGAAACAGATGCACCATACTTTGCATGTATCGTATATACTTCAATCAAGCGCAATCAAAAATTGAATAATGTGAAAAACTTTCAACTTCGTATTCGACACGGTGGGGAGTATTGTAAATTTGAAGCGTTTTGCACTAATTCTCGAATACTCGACCAAGCTCAGATTTTTACACCATCAATAACACATTTAGCTATTTGAAGTATTTCCCAAATCAAATGGTGAATTTTTAGAAATTAACGAGAACTAAATATATGCAAGTTAATTTTTATTACGCGACTGCATATTAGAAAGGGGAGTGAGTGACAACTAAGAATAATGTTGGGAGTTCAATTCAACTATAGCGCTAGGTTCATCTGCATGATGAACACTTAAATTGTAACCGTTGCCGGGTATCAGAATGCACATGGGAAAGCAACATATGTCGGTAGATCTCACGTTATAGCAATACCTTCAATAAATTGAAACCATTATCTATTCAAAATCGGTTATTGATTAACCATTGTCGCAATTGGTTTAAATATTAATTTTATCTGTTGCTATGTTCCTCGATTTTGTTCGATTAAGTCCAAGTATACGAACGGCGCAAAAATACCCTAGCAATATTTCGAATATGTAGAACTTATAGATTTATCTTTTATACATGCCCTGTGAATCAGCAAGAAAAAACGAAGAAATCTAGTTCAGTATATTTACACCAGAAGTTGTAAAACCTCAAACAATTGAAGGAGAGTCAGAGTTAGAATTATACTCCGAGATAAGTGTGGCTTTATATAACTTTCCCTTCAACACAAGATACATCAGCGATTTTCTTGATTGGTCTGTGTTCTACCGAAAAGAAAATAGGAATAGCAAGACAATAAAAGGTTTCATTTCAGTTTCATCGTTAAACATACGAATTAATATTTATGTATATATATAAATTTGAGAGACAATGGGAGATGAATTTTCACGGTGACAACGTTTGTTCCGGTTGGATGAAACAAGACATATTCATCAAAATAAGCTTTTTCGAGTTTATGGCACTACCAATCACATTCCCTTTCCTTCTCTGCAAATTTGGTTAACATAGAAACGGAGAACATTGCATTATTTCTGAATATTTATTTCACATCAAACAAAATAGTAAATGAGCAGCCCGATGACCTAAAAGTTGGAAGAATTCAAAGCACGAACGAATTCCTACCGATCCAATTGAAATTCCCGTAATTGTTATTTTGTTTTCAATTTTACCGGTACTACAGAAAACCACAAATCACGCAATAAATGAGAATATGATAATCTGCAAGAAAATGAAGTACAGTTTTCCAATAGCATGTATTGGACTTATTTCGATTCTAATATTTTCATTAAAGACGGAATTAAGGTAAATTTGATTCGAAAATCTACAAGCCTCGCTCTAAAACAGACATAGGCATAGAAAGACTCACTGGCCAAATCGGACACGTTCTGGTTATTGAACCGGCCCGACTGAGGATTCAATAAGTTTCTGTTTTTAACAATTTCATATCAATGATTAGTGTATGTCATGTATGATTGATACATGTAAACAAGGAAAACTTGGAAGTTATTACAACCGGATAATTATGTCAACAAAGTCCTTTTCAATGTTATAGATGCCTGACCCGCCAGTCCGAAATTAAATGTCTTTTATGCAAAACCTTTGCTTCCCCCTGCTTTAGAATCTAGTCAACAACTGCTAATACTACTGAACATTACCGGTCCTTACCAAGTTGATGAAGATATTGACAAGTTGTAGAATTCTAATTTTTAATCTGATTTGATTGTTGTGTTTTGTTTTAGGTTTAAATATATTATGCTGATTGTGGCCCTAATTTTTACAGGATAACACTATCAGCAAATACAGTAGACAACGACACAAAAATAAGAGATCCAGTCCCCGAGTATGCACTCAAAGCGCAAGCTATGGCTGACCTGGACACAAATACTTTGAGATGTGATGGTTTGTGTTAGTTGTTGACCTACGGTACTTGGCATAATTCTACTCAGTGCTACGATAAAAAGCATAATAGTCTAAAACCCAATGTTTACAAAGCACGATGTAGCTCGAGGAATTCAATTAACACAAGTACAATGCGATCAGTATTGCATTGTCAGCAATATAATCATCAGAGAATTCCAGTCATTAGCAAGGCAAGAAAACCTAAATAGGAACTGACTTTGGAAGAAGTGCTTAGTAACAGGGGCATTTATGAAACTGTTATTGATTTTGTTTTGTTTACGGGCAGAAATATTTAGGATTAATTACTTATTATAATTTTATATTTGTGAATATTGTATAATATGTTGGTGTAAAATTTTTAATTCGCATTGAGCTATGCCGCAAAAGACCACTGAAGTTATAAGCGCCATAAAACATATAACAACAAGTTAAATTGAACATTTTATTGAAAGGTACAACACCCGTAACTATATGTAAAACACTTGTGTTTCATATACTTTTGCTAAATGTTATGTTTTTCATTGATACGGCTGCCATACTTGAATGTACCAAGTTGGTCAAACTGGTTTGTGTCTAAATACCCCTCCAAAAATGATTCTATTTATTTGTTGCAGTTCGTGACATGGGATGCTTTATTTTGGTTCCAAAAAACAAAAAACACCCTAAAATAACAGAAGTTAAATTTGACGATGAGGTACAAATAACAAGAGAAAGTTGCATAGACAATTGCTTTCAGAAGTAAGTACACTGACGAATCACTGGTACCTTGTTTACTTGTCTAGTTCAATACATTGACATAGTAAACAATGTACATGTGTACATGTCGTAGAGTCGATTTTAGACAATGGTGTTGTTATTACCATTACATCCTATAAAGGTATAAGGGTAAACTTAAATAGAAGATAAATGACACGATGATTTTTATTACTGAATTCAATTTGACTCAATATTGTGAACTTGAGTCGTCAAAGCATTGTCAAGCCACTTATCCATTTTATGCCATACCTACATAAACTGATGTCGATAAAAATTCCTTTCCGTGTCCCCAACGCAGATTACAAATTGTGACTTTATGTCGAATTTTGGAATTGAATTTCAGTTGTTAGTGAGTTTTTCGGATTATAATTGTATTTTGATTTTCAGAAAATATACTTTGTCAGCATTAAACACGGCAAAGAATTGTTGTATGTGTAGCACTGGGTTTGAAGGATTTATTTCAAACCATGAAATACGATCTGCGATAAGTTTTGATAAAGCTGGAAAAAGTAGATCGTCAAGTAGCTTCCACGTCTATAGCAGAATTAGCAAATGTGAAAAAGGTTCGTGAAGATCAAATTTACAACATTACATAAATATTTTACAGTACAAATTACGAGAATTATGTCGCTAACTACGATGAAACAAGGTACGTGTTTAAGACAACACTAATAGGTTTATGAAATCGCGAGATTGCAGAAAATTGAAAATGTTAATTTAGATTTGCTCGAGTTTTCGTTGAAAAATGATCTTACATTTTTAAGTAGTCGATATATGATTTTACCAAAATATTTGTATTAATTTATTTGGAACAAAGACGTGATGTATAAATACAAACACTTTTATATTTTATGATTTTATAATGGGGAAATGTGAAATAATGATACCACCCCCTGAATTCATAGTATAATATTATTGTCAGCACCTTCTCAATAAGTTCTCTTTTGTATTAACATTTGCTCATTATAATGTATCTTGCTTTACTTGAATTTCATTGACTTAAACATTACGGAGGAAAAAGTGAATTTGGATTTCTATGTGATCGAAAATGTGTGGTCATATGTATAGAGATCAGATACTAAATTTATCAATGGCGGTGAATGAAATATTTTATTGTAACGAAGCATGATTTGAAAATGGATGATAACAGTAACTTTGAATCATTGAATGCTCATAACGTATGCTCAAATACTCTACACCAGGGTGGTGCGAGGTTGAAGGGCCGCAAAAACTTTTTCTCGCGTACTTGCGGGCCGCAGTCGGAGAAAACCCAAAAGTGATCAAAACATCGCGAGTTTACTCACTTTAAATATATTTAAGAATGAGAGTGTATCGTTTTCTTCCGTTTTTCAAGGAAATTATATAAAGCCTTTAGTTATTTTAAAATTGCTTCTCGAGAAATATCGTGGTATTTTCGTTATCTTTTCTCGTATTTGGTTTTGAAATGTCGCTTAAAATTATATGCTTTCGTGACAGATATTACTTGAAAACACACCAGACACTGAGGTTTAACGTTGTTGTGGGTAAGGAAATAGGTTTGCTCTCAGTTTGCTTCGATCACCTTTTTCTACACCTATTGTATGATAAATTTATCACTTGTAGCGTGAGCAGGCCTAGTGCTACCGTCAAAAAACAACCAAGTACGTCTAAGTTGAGACCTCGGACCCAGTTTAAAAAAAAACTTGATTACACGACACTAAGTCAGCTCTGCGGTTCGTCACTGCTGTGACATGGCCAACGCTTGAAAATAGAGGAGTGTTTTGACTAAAATAAAGGCAAAAAACGTCTCTTCAAATGAGAAGTTACTTGATGCGAGCTCATCTCATCGGCTAGGTCCCGTCTGCGAAAGACAATTCATTCTCCTTTCACCGATCACAGGATGTCATTCCCATATAGCCACCGTCTTGACGTTTATAGATAAAACAATGAAATTCCGTGATTTTAACAAACATCAATCCCGACATCTGGATTAGAAAAAGACTATTCCCAGTTGGAATGGTTTAAAAATAAACAAAATTGTTCTGCTCATAAATACAAATATCTGCCAATGGTTTAGTAGTGTACGCTAAAATTGTTCTGCGGCCGCACGGGATGTGTCGACGGGTCGCATGCTGGCCGCAGTTTGGACCACCCTGCTCTTCACAAAACAAAGCTAGATTACATAGTATGTTCTATGAAAGCACGCACTCAGGCAATCATAGAATATGAATCATGCCATTGCTAATAATGACATGTTGTAATTTGTATTCTCATTTTATCTTTTACTATGAAGACAAGTCGGTTGTGAAAATTTTGAAATAAGTAGACTTTTGTGTTATATATCGACTTTTGACATGGTAATATTAGAGACATTCATATGAGTAAGTATATTGAATATTGCAAAAGGATTAGAACAAGAAGTTAGCAATTCGTTTCCTAAAATAATTTATGCACCGAAGCTATTTAAGTCATATTTACTTATAATAACTTTGCATTGACAGGTATATCAGAAGAGTCATTGCAGCAGAAAAGAGTCGGTTGCATGTTGATACCGAAAAGGTTGAACGGGGAAATGATTGCGCTGTCAGGTTTTCAAATATCAATAGAGCAATGTATTTGGAATTGTGAAATGAGAGAATTCACTTATGCAGTGCCGATTCCACAAAGAAGTGTTTGTTTATGCTCGGATTCTTATTCACTGTAAGCAGTTATTGTTCACTTCCTCCTTACAAACTTCACCCACTCAATGACTTTGTTTGTATCATTTGTGTTTTTGAAAATGTTCTCTCTTATTTTCAGATTCGAATCTGTCGATAACATGACTAGAATAATGTCAAGGTGCAATGATAAAACTGAAATATTGGAATCAGATAAAGAAGTTGAGGTGTTCAGGACGACGTGTATTGACAAGCATTGTAGTCCAATAAGGTAAAGTTACATTTGAAGATGTTAGATCTTGAACTTTACGTTAGAGGGGGGGGGGGGTTGAAATTTAGGGGGTGGTAAATATTTTGTAAATCATAAAAATTGGGTATGTATTTGGCAAACGATGTGCACCAGATGGTCCCGAAAGTTGATTTATCGCGGACCAAAAATGGAAGCAGAAGAATATCCACGGGCAAGGAGAGCGGCAAAAAGGGCGCAACTGCACAGCTGGGGTTCAGGGCGCGCTCAAGCGCCCGGAGAAAATTTGAAACATAGGCACTAAAACAGGCTGTATGATTGATTTTAGATACACCTAGCATTGCAGTTTGTTATATAATAAAATTAATAATTATAATAGTTAGGTGATAGGATACCCGAGGAATAAATAACAAGCACGACTTTCAACAATAAATTTGCGACTGACTAATGAAGTTACTTGCTGAACTAGCATGCGGTCCCGTATAAATGGCTACTTGTGGCTTGTTTTGTTAAACAAAAACATCCTAAGTTTACATATAAAAAAAAAACGAATAACGCATTCAAAAGATAGTCTGTCAGTCTGAACCGAAGTTTTGATTTGTTAGGTTCATAATTGTATTGTTAGGAAGACTGATGCTGGAAAAGTTACTTTTTATATCAGTAGAAATGACTTCCAAAACTTGCAGCATATATTCCCGGAAAAATTTCCCTTCAACAAACGGGCGATTCCTTTTGGCGATGTTGCGGGCTACAATATAACTGGCCAATAACGTAGATTCACTTTCATTTGATATTTCTTTGAACATGTTTGTTTGACGTTTGTATGAATTTAGCAATGAATTAAATTTTGAAATACGCGCATCAACTAATCATAATCCAAATAATGCTTCGTGTCATAATGACGGCTAATGTTGTATTTCTTGATTCTATTCAATGAGGAAATAAGAACGCTGCTATTCATCTAAAAAACGTCTATTTTCAGTGTCTAGTTTTTGTTTTGTGACAGCAGGTTAATATACGGCTGATACTTAAAATACTGTCGTATGTATCCTAATGCTGGTACGTATACCGGTGGTATCGGTGTAATTGAACTGTTACGAAATACTCGTGCTTAAACTGTGATAATGGTGAAACAATGGGCGGTATTTAAAACGCAAAGAGGGTAAACACAAAAAGTGTTAAACGTATTAGTGTTTATTTGCAGTAAAAGTTCAACCGTTTAACTATTTCACTCAAGTTCGGCGGGCCATTTTAAGTCGTTACGCGGGTCGTAATTGACCCGCGGTTTGAGAACAGCTGATCTACACTGATAACTATGCCATATTCTATATATTTGAATACAAGTATACTTGAGTTGGGAATTACAGTGTGAAATCGCACCTCAAAATTAGGTGTTTGAAATTTTAGGGGGAGTGTAAGGAAATCACTGGTGCTGCCTGACAATGTATGGCACCTCTGTAAAAACTGAACAGAGAGGAACAGGCAGTTTGCTCAAATATCCTTTTTTTTAAATCAATTTTAATAACATGTACACATTGCAATGCAACCCAACGGTAACAAAAAAATCAGATCATTTAAAAAAAGAGATCAAATTTTTGTGTTATTGTTATTAATAAAAGATTTCGATTTTAGTTTTTTTATCAGTATCTTTTTGATTTGTTTTCAATTTGATTGATTTTGTTCAGCAACATTTTATGTTTTCCAGATTTCTTCATTTAAAACAAAACAAACCGATTCTTCTTACAAGTTACTATGGATCTGGCAACACATGGATAAGACATTTAATTGAAATCGCAACGGGAATATATACAGGGAGTGTATATAAAGACGAAGTCTTATATGAAGGAGGTATGAATCTCAGTTTTATGCTATGTTAGATGTTGTTAAATTGAAACAATGTTTAGAATATTTCAATATCTGGCTAGAACAAATAACATGCCCCCCTTGTTATTCGATATTATATGATGCAAGCAAATGAGACTAATAAGACAATCTAAATTCTGAGCTAGCTAAAATCCATTTAGATTATAGAGTCTTTCCAGTTGTCGGTATTTTTAAGTGTTGTGAAATGGAATGGCTATATTTCTATACCATCATATATTACAGTTACGACCAATGTAATTTTATCTGTAATCAAAATAAAACTCGGCCAAGGTGGATCGGTGGATCACATTTTAAGTATTTGTTTTCTTCGTCTTCTAATATCGAGTATTGGAATGAAGATCCTCTATCTATGAAAAATAGTGATTTCTTGATAATAATCAATGACGCTGAATGACAACCAATAAGTAATATCACGTTCCACAACACAATCCTTGTTTATTATTTGTTGAATACAAGCCATGGATAAGCGAATTATTCGAAATATATATGAATATAGCCTGCCATCGTGTTGTTCGGTCTGTGTCAAATTTTGAAGCACTTCCTAGCTGTTTGCATTATATCCATTTACAAATGGCAAGCGTTTCGTCTTGATTTATTACAGGTATGCTGGGAGAATATTTGCCATATTCCTCCGGACGAACAATTGTCGTAAAAGATCACTTGTTCGAACTCAAAATTTCTCCTTTGTATACAATGGCAGTCTTACTAATACGCAACCCTTATGATGCAACTTTAGCAGAGTTTGTAAGAAGAAAAACCCTAAATCACACGGGGGTTGTAGACAACGACATATTCCGAACACCGGGTAAGGATATTCAGACAGTAAGGTAATAAAAGGAGTTAAATGAAATTATCAAGGACAATGAAAAAATAGCTTAGGAACTCATCTACGATTGCTCAACAAGAATCTAAGAAATTCTATTCTGGGGTTGGAAAAGTTTCCAATGATCTGCCTATAGATTTTTTAAGTAAATTTTTTTTTTCAGACTTCAAACGTTTTGCCTCGAATCGACCGGACTATTGGTTTGGCATCACGAATGTTGTTTTGAAAACGTTTATGGAAAAAGTTGTTGTTGTTCACTTCGAAGATCTGGTGAACAATACGATCGAGGAAATTCGCCGTGTTGTTGAATTCTTACCAAAAGATATTGTTGGGCCTGACAAAGAATCATTTGAACGGAGATTTATGTGTATGAACTTGGACTTAATAGGAAAATTTAGGCGGCCACCACGAAAACTGAACTTCGATCCCTTTGATGCACTTGTAAGAAATGAATTCGATAAAAAAATCCGAGAAATGAATGATTTATTACTCGAACACAACCACCCTTCATTACCCGATTCGTATTTTTAACCGTACTAGTCAATGTATCACTTTATATTACACCACGTAGCTATTGCGAGACTATATAGTCCGGCAGAATCGGGCCTTAACATTATTTTGGGACATAAAGTTTTTTCATTGTTTAGATATAATGTATATGACATATATAATGATACCCAGGTGGGTGTGGAGTATATAATGTTAACCATTTTTTTTTGAGTGGATTCAAAGTATTCGGTCAAAGATGACGCACATCCTGAACCCCAAACTGGTAAACATACAATGTTCAGGTTGTGCGCCATCTTGGTACGAATACTTCAAGAACGCCTTTTTGTTAAAAACCATTATTTCATAACTACATGGTTTAGTTTTGCATACATAGTAAAATTGAATCTCCTTACAATGTCAGAAATTCAATTTTAGTAGAATAAATGGTAGTTTATTTCACTAATACAAGCCAAGATCCATCGACAGCATCTAGCCACTTTCTATTGCGCTCTTTAAATTACATTTGCGTTGCCGCGCGCATTTCGTTTTCCTACTTTAACCTTAGGGACTTGGGAAATATTGTATTAGTTGAATTGGATTGGAATATTTGACCTCGTCTTTCACTACGAACAAGGCCATGTAAAACCGTCCACTGGTATCTAAAGATGTGTAACGTGTTTTCTTTTGGAAGAACCTCAACCTTTCAGTACTGCATTGACTTTGGCAAATTTAATATAGTCTTGTGGAGATAGAAGGTATGCGTATTCGAAACCGAGATGTGCACCTATAGTACATCACACACATTTTCGTGCGTGCTTCGGTTGTACGTAGTAACGCGCACATTTTATTATTGAGCTATAGGTTTTTGACGAGCTTTTGTGTATAATTTCATTCCATAGAGTTTGTATGCTGTTCTAAAGAATACTAGTTTCAGCATTTTCATTCTCTTAAACCGCGTGTTGAAAGTAAGTTTTGTAATATTGCGTGTTGGTTTCCAACATCCTTAAATCGGTGATGCCAGCAAATCTTTAATACAAAAAGATCAGTAACATATGCAATAAAAACAGCAGTACCCACTCAAATGACAGCTGGGGGATGGATACTCTTAGTATTTGCTCCATCGCGTGCCTCTTACTGTCTTACCAGTTTACATGAGTGTCAATTGGTATCTATGCTCAGACAGAGACAAAAAGTTTTGGACTGCAGTCGGCGTGACGAAATGTTTTTAAATATATTATTCAACAATAAGATTATTTGATTGCATACTACTGAAAGTTCCGCCTTATATGTCTTTTCCCATTGCACTATTCCTTTACTGATATTCGATAATATGACGCTCATCTGAAATAGTTCTTAAAGTGTGTAAATGGGTATAATCTTTTCCACGCTGTTCAGATGGGAATGCGCGAATATATATAAGAATTGCTAATATATATTGGTTTGCAATGCGATGAAATCCCATCTTGGCATTTCTGCCTCTCGCAATTGCTGCGTATACTTATTGGGAAAGTTCTGTGGCGAGGTTATCAAATGAAAAAAAAAAACATGGGAGTATTTTTTCTACTTCTCTACTACCCATAAACCTTGACATTTTGTGAAAACTTTTTTCCATGCAACCTTTTTTAAAACATCCCCAACAACCACAATTAATTCTGTTATTAAACTTCCGAAACAAACACTTAAAATCATCAACAGATGCATATCACCAAGTAGATATTGCTGAATTGATCTTTATTTTACCATTTTTCATGTAATTCTTTTTGGTAAACCTGTTATCTATCGTAAATACAGCACATTTGACAATGTTGTAGTGTGACTTTTTTGGCCTCACATTTTTGATATTTTTGTAGTTAGAGCTCTTGGGGCTCTGTCAAACAAAGTTACATACAAAATATTGGTTGTAAATTGCAAAACATGATCATGTTGTTGGAACGACTTGGCATTTTACCACCCGTATATCATTCATTGTTGAGAATATTAATAAAATCATAAAATTTAAAAATCGGTTTTCGTGAAATTTTTGTTGTAGCTGAATTCCAGGGACAGCATGACAACAGGCAAGAGAAGCACGGTCGCCTCTTTTAGTTTATGACAGGGTTTCTTAAAAGGGGACCCCGTCATCCTAGGAGGCCGCTGATCGGTTATCTTGGAGCACGAACAAACAGATGGAAATGCGAATATATAATAACAATGTATTTTTATAGAAGAGAAGAATCAAAAGTGTTGAGAGTCTTTGGTAGTTTGAAAAGCATTGACATGGAACATAAAAATAAAATACATTCTTTCCCAGGGATATACTATAAAATGTGGCAATTTTCTCATTCTTGTTCTCGTGATATCATTATCTTTCACTGCGTCGTCGTGATCATCCCGCTGCATAACAATTCTTGCTAACAAATAATTGACTGTTCTCCACCGGGTGTATATCCACTTGAACCACTGGCGACTGCATTAGCAGGCTTGTATTGATAATTGCAACAAAACGGGTATTTTGAAGTAGTACTCTTTATTTTACGCGTATGTATCGACAGTATTTCCATATACTGTATATGGGTCGCGACCCAAAGCTGGGCTCAACAAATACCTAAAAGTTATTGATTTTATTTCCCAGTAAATTTGGTGCTTGCGTAGTTTACAAACCAAGATTGCGCACAACCTGAACATAGTATTGTAACAAGGTATGGTTCAGGTTGTGCGTCATTATGATGCACATGTTTGACGAAAAACACTTATACAAATATCTTAATAAATACCTAAAAGTTATTGATTTTATTTCCTAGTAAATTTGGTGCTTGCGTAGTTTGTGCACCAAGATTGCGCACAACCTGAACATATTATTGTAACAGGTTATGGTTCAGGTTGTGCGTCATTATGATGCATAGGTTTGACGAAAAACACTAATACAAATATCGAGCAGTAAAAAAAATGGCTCAAGGCTGCAAACTCCACACCCATGTAGAAATGATGGTCATTGACCGCAGGATGAATAATCACAAATAAAAAAAACTTTATGTCTGAAATCAAACTTGGGCCAAAAAGGTCCCCTTATTTGCCGGGCTAATACTGCAATTACAGGAAATAAGAAAAAATGATCAATGAATATAATTTGTGCTTTTGTGAACTTGCTACTGCTTACTTTGTCCTACTATTTCCATCGCGAATGGAAGACCTCTGTTTTCTTAATTTCTCGTCGCATATAACAATAATGAAATGTTAAACAGAAATGCATAAAAAGGTCATACAGTCTGGCCAGGCAGCGATGTTGTTTTATGTAATGAACCTACCGGTACTGACAGTCGGATGATAAGCTTCAAGTTTAAAGAACTTATTCTAGAGTCAGTTTTTACCGCTTTATATCGTTTCTCTGCTGTTTGATATAATTTTCAGTCAAGGAGACACATTATTAACGGCACCTGGTGATGAGTAGCAATGAATATGAAAGTAGTACCACGGAGGACGGGCTGTGCACTGGAGATGTTGTGGGAGAGATAATGATTGAACTTGAATATAACGCTGGAGATATTGCAAAAGTTGAACGGCTAAGCACTACAAATTACTAGATGTAGCAAATGAATGATACCAAATAAACGTGAAATGGTGCACAGTAATGGTTTGGTGAAGCAGTCGTGAAGCAAATTTCCCCGTATTTTGGGATATATACCTCTTTCTTTTTTAGCTATCATATTCGTGTATGCAATGTATTTCACTTATTTAAGTTTATATCGCAAACACAATAATGTAAATCAGTTTTTTCAAAAAAAAATAATTCTGGCAGCGCCATCTTGAACGACTTTTTGACTAACAAACGCCAAAGGTCGAAATTATTTCATTCTCCATTTCTTTCAATTAAATGGTTGAGTCGGGTGAAATGCTACCAGCTTATGAATATCCGGCTTCATAAGCCGGATAACATTTCATGTTCATAATTATTCCTGAATGAGTCAAATTTTCATTCTAGAACCTCCGATTGAAATCTAGGTAGAAACGAACTTCCATGTCATTGTGCAATTTTTGAATATGCTTGCTCTACTTATCGGCATTACATATGGGTCTGCCACAGATTGTTGCGAGCATGGCAATTGAAAAATTTTCGTCTAGTTATATTTCACTGATATTAAACCCACAAAGTGCCAATTCCACGTTTGTTTATCAGGTTGATTTCGTCTTTACGGAGAGAAAGATTCAGTTCATTCAACAGACTTTGTATTCAGTACGTTGCGGAGTATTGTATATTCGAAGCGCTCATTACTTATCGATCTCGATCGGTAAGTATGTTGATAGGTATTTGTCTGTTGTTTGTTTGCACTTTCGTATGTTACACGATATCTCACGAAAGCGAGGTTGATCTGCTCCAAATTTTGCATGTGCATTCATCATATATCGGACCAGAAGCCTATTGATTTTGGATGAATTATGTCGTATAATTAACGAGTGAATAATTAATTAATGATGGGACACGCGGTGCTGCTATTGAGTCAGAGCTATAAAGTAATTGAAACCGCAGATCGATAAGACGGCGGTCTGCGATGGCTCTTTAAGGTTACATCTTGATGCATATCATAACCAGATATCAGACAGTACTATGGTGAACAACATTTGACAGTAACCCCTACACTACAATGACGCTATACTGTGATTCCAGTTAATTGAAATTGACTAATGATTACCCATTATCAGAATAGTTTTTTTTATATCAATTTTGTTCTGTGTATTGCGATGTTTATTGATAAATATTAAAGTTATGTATATACGGAAGGGGCAAAAAACGTTTCTAGCAATACTTCGGACAGGTGAAACCTATAAATTCATTTTATAGAGTGTATATTTACGATTGGCCTATGGGCCCTAGACATGCGAGAAAAAAAATATATATTGTAAATATTCAATCATTTTAATCATATTTTAAGAAGAAGAATCAGGATTAGTCTATAAAACAAGTGCAAGGGTATTCAATCTTTCCTTCAACAAAAGATAAACAGCAGCGATTCCCCCGTGTTTAGTCAGTATTTTACTGAGTAAAAAGTAGGTATAATATATATATATTATATACGAAAGGCAATTAGCGATGAATTTTCATATTGATAACTTCCGTTCGGGTTAGAAGAAACAAGCTATAATTGTCAAAACAAGCATTTCCAAGCTTACAACACTACTAATAAAATTCAATTTCTTCCTCAGTGAATTTGGTTAACATAGCACACAAGAGATGTTGCACTAATT